CAATCGCAGGTGCGATTTCTGAGAAAATGCCCAACTCCGCAGATGCGTGTCCACTCTCGCAGATGCGACATCGCTTCTGCGACCACTCTTCCGCAGATGCGGAATCACTGGAGAATTTTGCATTGTTTTCACCCTCTTTTGCTCAATTCAACTTCAGTTCAATTCAAATCACTTCACATCATCATTTACCTGAAAATCTAACAATACACATCATAAACGACCTCATATTATAGTTAAAGGACATAAAAGCTAAGGAAAAGAGACTAGATTGAGTGGTAAAATCACCACTCATCAACAAGCGTGGGGTAGCTTCCAAAAAATCACTTTAAGGGGAATTGTGAGAAAAATAAAGTAAAGTTGATTTTTTTGGAAAAACATAGATTTCTCTAGAATGTCCTAGTGTAGTATCCTTGATATTTATCTATTAGACACATCTAGATGTTTTAGAATGTTGTGGGAAGATAAGGTTATCTAGTAGACATATCTAGATATTCTAGAGTGTTGTTAGAAGATAAGGTTAGCTAGAATATTCCTTTTACATTATCTAGAATCATCCATTGATAACTATAAATAGGAGGTGTCTCGTTCATTTGTAATGAAGCCAAAAATCAAGAAAGTCTTCTTTCTTAAACAAGTTCTCCTATCTATAATCCCTCTTCTCTTTTCAAGCTTCCTCTTCTTTAGTTGAATCTTCCAATCTTAGTTAACGATCTTGGGCTAGCAGAAGGTCTCCGAATAATGCTCCTCTTCTGCTATTTTTTACAGGGTCGGATGTGGGTGGGTCAATAACTAATAAAATATCCGACCCGACTCATATTTAAAACGGATAGAAAATGGGCTAACCAGCAGATAATATGGATATTATTTATGACTTTTTGATATGATCATCTTTGGGAGAATTCCTAGTCTCTTAAATTTGAGAAACCCGTAATTTGAGTCTTTACAAATATAAAAGTTAAACTCATTGTTTATCTATTTTTTAAATGGATAATATAAATCTTATCCATATTTAACTCATTTTTAAAAATTTATTATCCAACATATTTTTTCATTAATTATATGGATGAATAACTATTTTCTTATGGATTTTGCCACCACTACTCATCCATGGCCTCGGCCACCTCTTTTAGTTGAATTAAAGTTCGGTAACCAGTATGAGGTGACAACTGGCCATATAATGAACTTTCCAAGCTTATTATATACACTAACTACTAAGTATATTTGTTAGAACTTCTAAATTTGGAAATATCATAAGACAGTAAAGGAAAGTTCTACACTTGGCATCATACAGTTCAATGGTCAAGTTGACAATAGTCAATAAGATCTTAATCTCAAATGCTTCAATAATTATTCCTTATTAATTACATAGAATAATGATTGCAATCATCTCTAGCTTGAGAAAACTAAAACATCTATTGCCACCATTATTGCTTTTCTGGCAGATTCTTGTGTGTGTGTTTATGTTTTAGTTGGTGGTGGTGGATATCGTATTTATTGCTACTTGTACTGCTAATAGTCTTACCCTGCAATTGTGTTTGTGACAGTAGAAAACTATGGAGTCAAATCTAGTCAAAATATATACCATATATATTAAAAAATCAAACGTATTTGTGAACTTGGAACATTAATTTTGTATTTACTTGCATGTTGAAACTCAAAGGTAAATAAGATGGCATTAATTACTGAGGTTCGTCTGATTTAATGGTGCATAGTGGTGCAGCAAATGAGGCTGCTATTTTCTTAATCAGAAACTTTAGTTTCGAGCTCTGGGTATGGAAAAAAATTTATAGGGAGTGATTTTCCCCGAATGCGCCCCTATGCAGCACGAATTCGAAAATAATCGGGCTCTAATACGGACACCGGACACCAAATAAAAACCAAAAAAAGATTTAGAAAAAACAATTACCTTTGACATTTCTTTTTGGTGAACACATGTCTTCAAGCTTTTTCGTATTCTAGGTGAATATTGATTTTTATTCTTGCGGACAAGATCTTACTTTATAGAAAGGTTATTAATTGTTAGAACAATCTAGTCTAGAAAGAACAGGAAATGTAAATCTCACCTTGTGCAATGCTCGTGAATTGTGATCTCGACTCTTCCTATATATGCAATTACAAAAACTATGTTAACTAACTATCAAAGGCGAATTTTTAACTCAGAGTTTTATGGGTTCAACAAAATCTATTGCTTTTGAACTCGAACTTTATATTACTACTATACAATAACAACAACAACAACAACAACAACCCAGTGTAATCCCACAAGTGGGGTCTGAGGAGGATAATATGTACGCAGACCTTACCTCTACCCCGAGGGACAGAGAGGCTGTTTCCAGGAGACCCTCGGCTCTTTATATTACTACTATACATAAAGGAAAGCCAAGCTCCTCTCCGTCGTTGTGTGTCTCTTTGAATTACATTTATTCTGAGGGTATCTTTGGAATTTCATGTTCTGCTTTGCTTACCTGTATTGCATCGTGTGGTAAAACGTTTTTGACTTTCGGCTATGTTGACCGAAAAACCGATTCTTATCTATAATTCCCATGGCATTCTTGTACTTGTAATGGAAAGACTTGCAATACTTTTTGCAAGTTTCATTTTGCCCTTGCTTTTGCTCTTTTTTTACAATAAATGCACTTGTACACTTTCGTGAATCCAACGGATAGCTAAGCCTTCTTTCAATGCCCAAAAAGGGTCATAATTGCTGATGTCACAAAGTACATGTTATATAAAACTTTTTGTTCTTGAAAGTAAATATCACAATTCATACACAGTATGCAAAAAAGGACCAAGCTTATTTTCCCGACTTAAATTTGATCTTTCTTTTTAGTGATTGTAAATTAAAACTAATCTAATCTCCTATTTTGATTTTGTGTTACTCTTTTAAAATTTGTGATCTTAAATATAAATATTTCCATTTATAAAGTGTATCACTCTTTTTAAAGTGTATTGAAAATAAAAATAGTAATATATAAAATAAAACAATTGGCTAAATAATTTGTGTTTCTATGAAGTAGTGTAATATACTTGCAGAAACGAAAGTGGTGATTTTGCTAATAGCCATAAATCTACACTAAATACATCGATTATCTGTTTTTTATTTCTAAAGCAAATCATCATTATCTCGAGTTAATATCATGGGTTCACAGAACAACCAAGAAAATAATATATATTTATAAAGGAACAAATAAAAATAAATTTATAAGTGCATAAACTAATTAGATCATTCTAAGCTCCCGCTTGATTACAAATTTTGGCTATGTTTTTCGAATTTTTTATGAAACATTGTTTGTTTACTAAATATAGTCATGTTTTGGGAAAAAAAGAAAGAAAGAAACTCAAGTTCCCAAAAAAACTGGTTTAGATAATTTTTGGGTGAATTTTTTTTCTTTCACTTACAAAGCTTCAACTTTTCTTTATATAAAATGCATCTCCAAATATAAATTCAACTTTCAAAAATTATTTTTCAACACAAATTCAAAAACTCTCTTTTCAAGTTTCAATCAATTGTATGTCCAAACTGTCATTCATATATTACTTCATGGGGGATCAGACTCCATTATATTCGAGCTTATCACCGAGATGTTGTTGCATATGCATCAATTCAAGAGCTAAAAATAATCATTATTTTGGCACAAAAATTTGAAAATCAGATAACACAGAGGATTGTCGAAGGGTTTTAGCTAAAAATGTTCCTATCACTTATTAAGTGAATATAGCCAACTCTAAGGTCCTTTTAAAATATCTAAGAAATTTTTGAATGGTACCAGATTGGTGTTACCATTAAACGATAAATAACTATTAAATCAAAATATGTATACAGACGCAAATTATTCACATTGCCATTGGGCCCGGGCATGGCCCGGGCATATCATTACTAGTATTAAATATAAGAAATTTTTGCTTTTGGCGCCGCCGCCACTGAGTAGAGTAACAATAATATTGACTAATGTTCAACTAAGGGTGGCAAGCGGGCACCCGGGCCTGCCCAGTCCCGCGAGCCCATATCGACACTGTTCTACCAAAACCATCAAATTCCAAATACCTTTCTCTCAAACGGTCAGGACTAAGATTTTCAAGCACTGATTTCCCATCTTTTTAGTCAAGGCAGTGTAAAATCTCCCCTATAGAAGAAAAAGCATCTAAATATGTAGTATATGGGTAATTCACACAGAACTTGTTACTATTAACAGCACAGCTGCTGGTGCTAGGTGTTGCATACTCTTTGCCATTAATATCATAATCTTTTTGTTCTATCGTTATTATATCACAAATTCATTTTCCACTAATATCGAAGCAAGTCGTGATTGGCTATATAAATTTTCAACGGTCATGTTACTCCATTTAAGCTCATCTCAGACCACTATACAAAATACCAGATATTGAGTCAACAACGTTTTTTATGTGTTCCACTGATTGTATCATATACTGACATCTATACATACACGTTACCAAGTCTAAAGCATACATGCACTTTTGCACCTTAATGCATTATACCGTAGTTGCCTATGTCACTAAAATATTTCTCTAGTTCTCTAGTTTTAGCAACAACAACCTAGTAAAATTTCACAAGGTATGGGTAGGATAGTGTGTACGCAGCCCTTACCCCTACCCCAAGGGGTGGAGAGGCCAACAACGACCCAGTAGAGTGAAAGAATTAGGAACTATGAGACCTAACTCATAACTCTTTCCTAATTCTTTCACTCTGCTAGGAGAACCCAAAAAAACTAGGGAGAAGCACCTCTTTGGTGTTCCTCAGCTTAGACAAAGAAAAATGACAGAGAAGCCAAATTACAGGGAAAAAAAAAAGGCAGTCAGTTGCACTAAGCTCCCGCTATGCGCGGGGTCTGGGGAAGAGCCAGATCACAAAGGTCTATTGTACACAGCCTTACCCTGCATTTTTGTAAGAGGTTGTTTCCACGGCTCGAACCCGTGACCTCCTGATTATATGGAGGCAACTTCCAGTTACGCCAAGGCTCCTCTTCAAGTTAACCAGAAAATGAAACGAAACTACAGATATAACACTTGTTAATAACCAGCCCTGATGAAAGAACTATACTTTCCTCATTACAATCAGTTAGATCAAAGCCATCCGCCAGAGTTGCCAACAAATGATTCAATCAGATTCCAATAGAGCTAGACACCTTGCTATTGCCATAAAATTAAAACCATGATTTACCAAAATGAAACAGATACTGGAACCGCTTAACCAGATCAAGTTTTCCTTTTAAACTACTATTCGAAAGAATAAAGAAGCCAATGACCAGTGCAACAGCCAAAATAAACTCTTCCATGCCATTACTCTCTTTCTATTTGAATGGTTACATGGCTAATGTTATATTCCCTCTTAATATAATCAATCACCTTATCCAGCACCGTGTCAGCATCAGCGTCGGGCTTAATCTTGACATGGCAAGCCAGGAGCACTTTGCCGACTGTAATCGCCCATATGTGCAATTCATGGATTGCGACAACGTCCTCCATCTCACAGAGCCCCTTCTCGAGCCTTGTTGCATCAATTTCTCTGGGTGTGCTCTCCATTAATACTTCAAGAATACTCCGAAGCATCCTAATGGTTGTCCCGAGCACAATTACAGAGAAAATGAGAGTGCAAATTAGATCAATGATTTTCCACTCTGGTTTATACCATATAATAGCTCCCCCAATCATGACCCCTATGCTCTGAATAGAATCTCCTAGTACATGAAGATAAGCCCCCTGAACATTTATGTTCCTCTGCTTCTTTTTCTTTTCACCTTCTGGCACACCTTCACCGTCACATGAATTCTTAAGTAGAGGCTCGGTGTGATCTGCATCATGTGCGTGGGAGTGTTGATCTCGGCTCGAAGGTCCCTCATTATGGTGATGGTGTCGGCTAACGCTAATTCCATGTATATGCGTATGCTCGCCATGGCCGTGCTCATGATCAGAATGGCTATGAGCATGTTCTTCATGATTATGGCCGTGTTCATGGCCATGGTCATGACCGTGGCTGTGGCCGTGGCCGTGGCCATGATCATGACCTAGCAAGACTGCCATGATAAGGTTCACTACTAATCCAAATGCAGACACCACAAACATGAGGAAGCCTTGAACTTCACCTGTATCATGTATAAGACGAGCAATGGCTTCATAAACAAGGATCCCAGCTAGAAGCCATATCATTTGGATAGAAACTAATGCCCCGAGTATCTCGATTCTGAAAAACCCATAGGACTGGCGTGGATTAGCTTCCCATCCTGCTGCCCAGAGTGAAAACAAGGATATTGCAAAAGCTGCAACATCTGATAGTAGATGAGCAGCGTCGGTCAATATTGCCAGACTGTTGGCTTTAATACCACCAACAACCTCGACAGCCATAAAAATGATGCAGAGGACAACCGCGATGCAAAGTTTCCTCATGGATGCCGATCTCTCCTGTGCATCCTTAGACATGGTGTTAACATCTGAGAATCCACACGGTGCTGAACCACAGATTTTAGTCCCCTTTTCTTGAGCTGCCATGTCACAACGTACCTCAATTACATGTCCACGTTCCAGGTTCTGCGTCTCCATCTGGAAAACAGATATACAAAATCATCAATTAACAACAAGCCAAATGAGTCTAATGTGTGCCATATGAGCCATTGGATAATTCTTAAATCATGACAAGCACACATAGAGTTGAGTAGTACTCTGTCTCCATACATACGACCAACAGAACAACAAATGCACAACTCGAACAAAATAAATCAGTCACTTAGCTAGGAAAAGTTAACTATCAACATTGGCCTGGGCAAACGTCAAGCTGTAGAATGGTTATCAGTAAATACCAAAACCATGGAGTGGAGATACTACCCGAGTCCTCTGCAGAAAGCTATTAAAGATAAACATACTACACCACATAGACCAAGAATATTTTCACAAGTACAACGATATAACCGAACTTACACAGAAAATTGCACACTGCACCTAAATACTGGAATCGAAATGTCATGCTTAGTTAAAAATTTCGGATATCATCAGACAGTAGTTGGTTCATATCTAAAGTTTTAGCTAGACTGGGAAGGAAAAGATCTGCATTGATTCATTAAAACCCTGCATCTCCAGCACCTTTAAACAAAACATACAACAGAGGCCTATGCATTCTATTGCAAAGAAGCACCTTAAGAGATATTGTGATTCCTCTATGCGTGGATTATCCCAGGATTAGTTATCTCAGGATTGTTATCCCACCCTCCCATAGGGATAAATATAACACTACAATCCCGGGATAACTAATCATGGATTTTGAGCCCTAAGAGATATTGATTCCTCTATGCATGGATTTTAGAGGAATGCCTATCCTGAACCCATGAGCGGAGCTACAGTTCTGTTTACAAGTTTGACAAAACCTAGTAGTTTGGCCCAGACTTGTACTAGTGTTAAAGAATTCACATAATATGTATAAATAATCAGAACCCATAAACTCAAAATCCAACTCCGCCTCTGTCTAAACCAATTGATTTCTAAGAAGTTGATGACACAAAACAATATGAAGCATTAAAAGATACGACTACGACAACAACAACAGCAGCAAATCCTATAATCCCACGAGTGGGCTATGGGAAGGATAGTGTGTATGCAGATCTTACCCTGGGTAGAGAGGCGATTTGCGATAGACCCCGGTCAAGGATGAAGCATTAAAAGATAATTCATCAAATTCAGCAAGAAGCAATCAAAGGGAAATTGATGCACATACCTTAACCCCTTTAAGAATGACCTAATCACCAAGAGAAAACCCCTAACTGACTAAAAAGAGCTCAGAGATATACACCCAAAAACCAATACTCTGCATGTGTGTATATGAGAGATAGATGAAAAGACACTGAAAATCATGAGATATTATCAACTCAATACTTTGGTATATTCTAGAAAAAAATACAGTATATCTGGAATAAATACACATATCATTACACACACATACCATACATGACAAAACAAAGATAGGACCAAAAGTTGGCCAAAAGCACAATGATAATAAAAATGCTTTAAACAATTCCCTAAAGCGGTATAAACAAACACAAAAATCCAAAACTCAGTAACTATTCCACCTAAAAAGTACATCACCACAGATCTTAAATCAATCCAATAATTCAATTATTACAAAAACAAAAACAAAAAAAAAACAGAAAAATCTCCAAACAAAAACAAAAATCAAGAAAATAAGCTATGATGGATTCAACGGAATACCTCACAAATTTGTGCCAAGATTTCAAAAGGGTATTAAGAAGATTGTATTTTTAGCCGACCCAAATCATCAAATTCTCAAAATAGATGTAGAGTTTTTATATAGCTATATGGTTTATAGGCTATATATGGGTATATACCTAAAGGAAGAAGAAAAAGGAGAAAAAGAGGAAGAGATAAAAGGAATCACGGAATACAAAAATGCAACCCACTTTCCAAAATTTAGTATTGGGTGTAGGGTTGTGCTTTGTGAATGACGCAGTCAGTCACAGGTTGGATTTTGGGAGGGTTCTTATGGTCTCTTTATTAGTTTTGTTTGTTAGTTCATTCATATATTGGGTTTTGAATAGAAATAATTTTGGGTTTCCTTTTTTGCCCTTTTTACCAAAATTGAATTTGGGATAGTTTGTTAAAATAGGGAAATTGAGTATATATCTATTTGACAAGAGGGTATGGCTTAGAACCATTAGGGGTGTTCAAATCGAATCGAAAAATCACACTAAAACAAAAAAGTCAAGAGATTTTCTTATGGGATGTAATATTTAGTAAAATATATAGTGCATTATGTTTATTTACTTTAAATAATAGGTTGTATTATCACTTTCTTATCAAATATTATTGAAATGCGTCAAACTATTTGTTCTTCTATATTCATTTGTCAAGATCTAGTAAATTCATATCTTTTTTTTAAATTTGAAATGGTATTTCGATAATTTAAAATTAAATAAAATATATTATTATTTAGGTATCATATTGATTTTATGTTTAATTATTAAATTCAGCTAACCTTGAAAGAGTATATCAACCAAAAATTATTATTAGACGACTAAAACCTATCATATGTACTAAGAATATTTTCACATAAAAATATTTTAATAGATCATATGTTTGTCAATTTTTTCAAATTTTAGTAAACTTATATGTATTTATCAAAATTTTAACAAAATAAGATTAAAATAACATTCATGTAATTAAAAGGCCCGAAAATTTTGAAAAACTAGACAAAATCGAATCAATCCAAACAGATATAATTGGTTTGGTTTAGTTTGATTTTTGATAAAAGGCGAATCAATTTGATCCATGTACACCTTAATCAGCACTCTCATCTACAATCTTAGAGTCATGGGTTCGAGTCATCAAATGAGCATTCAAAGGAGAGGAGATAAGAAAAATTATATATTTATTTGACAGTTTTACCCTTTTTGGACCATATTCCGAATTTGACTGTTGTTTCTCAATGTCACGTTCGTCGCTTCATTATTGTGTCCACTTGACAGACAAACTCTGTTGAGCTTCTCCTTATTTAATAGTACTATTTTTATCTTTTTTCCTCTCGAAAAAATATTAAATATACCCCTAATACTTTCAACTACTATATATAAAAATAATAGAAAGTGATATCCAAACGCTGTATTTGCTAAATAATACAACACAATATAATACAACAACAACTCAGTGAAATCCCATAAGTGAGGTCTAAAATGAATAATGTGTACGCAAACCTTACTCTTATCTTAGAGGGGAGAAAGACTGTTTCCGAAAGATCATCGGCTCGAGAGGAAGAATAGAAACAAATAAATAACAATAACAAGACCAGAAAAATAATATCAACAATGTAAGGACCGGAAAAAAATAAATGAAATAAAGCAGTAGCACGAGCAATAGCCACACTACAATATAATGCAATGTAATATAATATGAAACGGCATGAACCATCCAAACAAACTGTATATCCTTGGGCATGAATCTTGCTACATTTTGACTTCATCTTTAATAAAGTAATATAAGTTGAGCTTTGACAAGTAGTACGCTCTCGACAAATAACTAAATAATACATATCATCATTTATCGCTAGCATTATTGGAATTTGGAAATAAATCACCTCCAATATATTTTAGTGGGCGTTTGGACATAAAAATTGTGAAATTTTTTAAAAAAAGTAAATAAAAAAATTAAAATGGTATTTAAAAATTAGAGTTGTGTTTGGACATGAATATAATTTGGAGCTGTTTTTGAATTTTTGTGAGTGATTTAAAGTCAAAATTTTGAAAAATAATTTTTTCGAGTTTTTCAAATTTTCGAAAAAATTTTAAAAATCCATCTTCAAGTGAAATTGGAAATTTTCTTGGACAAACATTGATTTCGAAAAAAGTAAAAAAGAAATTCGAAAAAAGTTTTTATAAAAATTATAGCGAAACGGGCCCTAAAAGATGACATTTGCCGCTATAGGAACTAGCCAATTGTATGTCAAGAGTCAAACTAGTTGAAACAGACTCAAATAGAGCATATGAACAATCTTTATTGTATAATAATGGACTAGTGGTAATAATCTATAATAAGTCTAATTCGATGAATTAAAAAATAAAGTACAAGAACATGTTGTAAGAGGTGGTAAAAATATATTGATAGTTTAAAATTCTTGAAACTCCCACAGTGTATAGGTTAAAATAAAATTCAAATTTAATTATATTGAAGTAAAATGACTTGCTTTACCTATAGTGTCCATTTCCTAGTGCAAAGAATTTTAGACATCGTTCAAATTCCAAACTGGGTACTAAGTAGGCGTTTGGACATAAAAATTATAATTTTTGAAGAAAAAAATAGCATTTTGAGTTAAGTTAAAAAATAATATTTGAAATTATGATTGGACATACATTTCACTTGAAAAAAATATTACAGTTTTGTGAGTGGAAAAATATTTTTTTGAAAATTTTGAAAAAATGGCCAAAATTACTTTTTGATTTTTGAATTATTCTTTTTCGAAAAACTATGGACAAATAGGGCCTAAGAATACCCCTGACGCTTTCAATTTATTTTTCGTTTGCCTTCATTTTATCTTTCTCATATATGTTTAATAAAAATTATGATTTCTCAATTCATATTTAAAATTCAACTTACACTTCGTACTCTAAAATCCATTCATTTTTCTTGGGAATGTGGGGAGGTATTTATTAATTAGCATTAACTGTTAAGATTTCTTAACTTCTATTTATTGATTATATTCTTCGTTTGAAAATTACATCGACCTTCCCAAAATTAGTGAGGTCGTTTGATAGCTGGTTAGGAGAAAAGTTATTCATGTCAGAGGCTGATCCAGAATTTGAGGCTTATGGGTTTCTATCGTAATTTTAGATTAATATGCAATAATAATTGGGTTCACAGTTAGATATTTACAAAAATTTAATGAATTTCTTAATATAAATACAGAGTCTACGCAAAAATTTATGGATTCCCCGAAACCCGTATTGTAAGCTCTAGGTCCGCCCGTGATTCATGTATTGGGGACAACATAACTTATACAATATTTGGTAGCCATTAGTTATTTTGTATAAAATGCAGCATAACTAATACCATATTTAGTTGTCATTTTACAATTCTACATAAAAAATATATGCATAAGTTATGAGTCAATCTATGTATTATTTTATGCATGGTAGAAGATAGAATAACTAATACATGTATTAGTAATATATGTATAAAATATTGAAATAATAAATTTAGCCCTATCACTTCACACATAAAGGCTTCCTTCGATAGATTGATCTGTATCAAACCCTATGTAGAACAAGCATGGAGATATTGATTCCTCACTGTTAGGCTATTCTTCTTCTCAATTTATTAGAGGAAAATCAGTAAATAAGTATTTTACTTTAAAATTTATATAATGTTTTGTTCGATATCATTGACTAATTTACATTTCAAAAAAAAAATTACCAAATGCTTTTAGAAAAGGAAAAATTATCCTTAAAAAGAGTATTTAGAGATACAAATGTAGAGCAGAAAAAAAATCGATTTTTTTTTAGATTTAAACATATTAAAATTATGAGGCGATTATTTAGTATGACTTGACTGCTTACAGATTTTTAACATAGGATGAATAGCTTGTTTGGCCAAGGTTTTTTTTGTGCATTTTCCTTTTTTGCCAAAAGTTTTTTTTTTTTTTTTATAGTTAAGGTGTTTGGCCAAACTTTTAGAAGAAAATTTTTTTTTGAGTAAAAGCTGAAATTATTTTTGAGAAGCTGAAAAAAATAGTTTCTTCTTAAAAGTATTTCTAAAAGAAATACTTTTAAAAAATATACTTAAAAGTACTTTTTAAAAATTTGGTGAAATGCAAATTGTTGTTCAAACAAGCTAGAAGAAAGATAAGGTTAAATGCGGGGCGAATCTTGCAAGTAAGTTACAAATTTACGTGAATCAATAGTGTTTGTTCAGATATTGAATATTTGTTAAATATTTATATATTTTTAGTTATAAGTTTTATTATTATTATATATTACTTGAGATCGCTATATAAAATTTATTATTCATAAACTTTAATGATTAAATGGTCGTTTCTCCCTTTTGTGGCGGACAATTACAAACTTTAATGATTAAGAGCCCGTTTGGATTAACTGATTTAAAGTAGATGATAAGCATTAGTTGCTGAAAAGTACTTTTATGTGCTGAACTGACTTAATAAATAAACAGTTACGTGTTTGGATACAAGTGCTTAAATTGATAATAAGCTGCTGCATTATTTGATAAAAAAATGTTGATAAGATCTTTTTCTGTTAAAATGACTTAAATAACCTTAGAACTGTTTATACTTATAAGGGCGTAATTTCTTCAAAATTTTAAGATTCCAAATCGATTCAAATACAAAATATTATATTTGTTAATTTTAAATACAATTGTAATTAGATAAGATAATTTTTAAGATAAATATAATTTACTTTATAATAAGCATATAATCATAAGTTATAATAATTAATAAATTGACAAAGTTTC